CCCCCTGGCTAACATAGCTGGCCTGGTAACTGGCCAGCTAGAGTGAAATACAAATTTGAGTATCCTGAATGGTTCCCAAAGTAAGGCTAACAGCAGATCCCCCATGATCAGAGACTCAGGAATAGTTTCGCCATTGTTGTTAACTGTGTCTCCATCCATCTTCCTACCATGGAATTTATACATCTTCAGTGATAATAATGAAAGGAGAAGCTCTGAGAAGGCCTGGGTGCTTCCTGGGAGGAGTGGTGATCACATTTTGCTTGATACACATAGGATTCTGAGCATTTTCCCTTTCAATTTCCAATCTACCTGTGCTTAAGCATGACATCAGTGTCTACTTGGAAGCTTATTTTGGTGAAAAAAGAATACGTTATTTCCTTCTCAGACACAGCCTCCATGAATTTACTGCCTGCAATAGATAATGGGATAATCTGGAATAAGGTCTTAAAAAGACAAACCTCTTAGACCTTACGATGGCTTCTCCATGCCCATTCTCCATGTTTAATTCCTAAGACTTGATTACTGTCCAGCCATGACAGCATACTCATTTCAGCCCACTGGCCCTAAGGATCCTAAGATGGGAATCTGCTTTTATATATGCAGGTATACTCTGAATTACAGGTGGTATTAATAATGAAACAAGTTTGGTTTTTCTAGTAGCATCGCATGACTACAATTCCAAAACTGTGTACCAAGATGCCCTGGGACACTATAATAAACTCATAGGGCACTGTGAATATTTTCAAAACTCAAGAGAAACAGTAATATTCAGCACCCATTGGACTTTGTCTGAACACCTAGCTCAAGGTACTTCATAGTTCCAAAATTAGATTTTGAAACACTTTTTTTTTACGATGTCACATATTTGCAAATCTGGTTTTTGGGCAGTTGCTACGACGGAAAGTAAGTACCATGAGAAAAATCATGTGGAAAAAAAAGTGGGGTGGATATGTCCAATCAGATTCCAAGATATAAGAAACTGTACACTCCCAATCGGTACATGCATTCCATTAAGTCATTGTAGTCATTTAAGAATAAAATAAATATATAATTTTTTCTTTCAACGTATGTGGGGTTTTTTTTTGTTTTTTTTCAGATGGCTACCAAAGTGTTGGGACATAAACACGTAGTAAGGCGTGTGGACCTAATTACTAGAGAGATAGAATTGTTAGGTATTTCTTTTGGCTTAGGGATGCCATAACCAATTATTCTAACACTAAAGGATCCATGAACCAGGAAATCTGGTAACATCTGGACTATGTGTAAATAAGCAGCAGGGGAGCTGGGCAGTTCCCATCATGTGCCATTGTGTCCTGCTGATCTCAGACATGCCTCCTTCTTAACTTCTTTTTAATTTTCATTATTATCACAATGAATTATCTCTGATATGAGTTTCGTAAAATAGCATTTCATTTTCAGAGAAAATTAGCTATTGCTTTAGAAAATTTCAATGAAGAAGAGACCAAATAATGAATGAAGGTTTCTTACCAGGCCTGGTAATTCACAGCATTTGTCTTTATTGGCCCATGATGTGGAACAAACAATATCAAACATCTGTAACTGGAACTGCAATTTAAAATGAAAATTGTCATTCAACGAAAGATAGATACACCGTGGTGATAACAATAATTATTTCATATGTCGAGTTGGACAATTAAGTTTGCGAACTTTTCCCCTGTGTAAGTTCGTGAACTTAATTGTGCAACCTTTTGTATATCACATAATAGAACACCAATACATTTATAATATCACATTACAAAAATTCATTAAAAAAATGAATTAAAAAGTCATTCCAACAATGTCAAACTAATTTTGTTTCTCGAGCACACATGATCTAAGATTTTGTCTATTGTTATTACATCCACCATTCAACCTCTTATTTATCACAACTTCCCCCTCCCATCTCTATCTAAAGAAGTTTAGTGCCTTTGTTGAAACTTTTCCCTGTACTGCCCATCACAGTTACTCCAAGTGCCTCTGTAATCCCACAACACTCTGTATGTATCTTTTATAGCACATCTCCCACCATACAATGCAATTATTTGTATTTTCTCCTCCTTAGATTATGAGCTCTTCAAAGGACAGAGAACCACCTTTATGTCCCCTATCACAACATGCGGCCTATAGTAGCTATTCATGAAGACTTGTTGAATTAATTCTGATTTTAATCATTCAGTTATACGTTTGGCAAATTTTTCTTTAATGCATAATGCAAGCCAGATCCTATGTAGACCTTTAAGACATGAAAAACCAGAGTACCAGATACAAAAACCAGAGCACCAAGTATTCCGCTCTCAAAGAATTTCCAGGGAGTGAGAGGCAGGCACACAACTACTGTTTACAACATGGTAAGTGTCATGACAGAGTCACATATGGTTTTGTGAGAACCTGGGTTAAATGTATTTTTACTTAAGCCATTGATCATGCCATAAATATTTAGACAGCCTTGTTCTACTCATGTAGGTCGGCAATAACTCAATGTGTATTTTGAAATATACAAAAACATTATTATAATGTCTTTAAGGGCTAACACTAGCTTCATGACCCAACCATTTTTCATGTTATGTTTCTTTGGATATTATTTTCAAATATGAAAAGCGTCATCGGTACAGAACTGGGAGAAGGAAGAAGTGCTTTTCATTTTAAATCTTCAACCTTCCTTCAATAAGCAAGTGTTTTCAGCAAAAGCTGGAAACTCTCGGTGTCTTGTTTTTCTCCCAAGGAATGCTGTTCATCCCTGTCAAGGATCCCCTGGATGACAATGAGAATGCCCAAGCAGATGGGACTACTGACATAGGTCACCAACAATGCACGCAGCATCACAATAGAGCCGGCCCTGTCTGACAGTAAAGAGAAGAAGTCAGGTTTTCTCTCATTACACCCAAGAGGAACTGGGCCTTGCTGCAAACATCCTTCCCCAAGTGAGTTTTGCAAGATTAATAAAATAAACCTCAAATTTTGAAAGTAAATCCATGAATCAAATTATCATGTTTTCTTGTTTCCATATACAATGACTGTGTTGTTTGAAGAAATATAAGCATGGCTCACTGCTCTTTTGTTTTTCCAGATTAAAAAAAAAAATCCAAAAGGGTATGATATCCAAGTCTGTGCAGGGCAACCATACAACAAAATTATGATCATTAAAAAATTAGGTTTTTAAAATTAGAACATTTTTTAAAAACATGGCTGGTGATGTCTGTGAACAACAAGAGTAACACAAATATTTCAAGGAACACGGCAGTGAGGAGACTATTGAGCTAGACTGTCTGGGTGTGATCCTTGAATCTTCCCCTCTCAAGCGAAGTCATTTTGAACAAATTACATAAGATGTGGGAGTCTCAAGTTTCTCCACCTGTGAAATGAGTATAATAATACTAGCTACGCATTAACTTAATATTAGTAGCTGTAACAATACAATGAGTTAACAGGGGATTCTTTAGAATGGTGCCTGGAATATAATTATTACAAACAATAAATATTATTTTAATGTAACATGTACAGCCCTTCCATGATTGAATTCTTTAAGGTTCAGGAATACATACTACAAAGGCCAAAAGAGTAGAATCAAAGTGAAAGCAATACAGTATTGAAGGAAGAAATGCAGCAGTAGCATGTTTCTCTAATACTCATATCTCTTTAATGTTTTGATTGAGAAAAATTTTAGCAAACATTTAGTGAAAACCTACTATGTGCCAGGCAGGATCCTAAGGCTTTTGCCTCTATCATCTAATCCTTAGATCACCATGATGAGGCATGATAATTGTAATGTCAACCCCAGTCCCTATGTCAGGACTTGGGACGAAACAGCCTAAGTAATTTAAGCACATGCTGACAGTTGAGTTCAGGTTGGGATTTGAACAGTACACCTCATTTTCTTGTGGTTCATTTTGCAGTGAATGGATCTTTAGTCTACTGTTTAAAATGAAGGCACCCCAGCCTAACTTTACAATTGTCTGGGGAAATTTATCAATGGGTCCTATTATGACAGCATTAGATAGAATCAGCTAAATCTGTACGTCATTCATCCATTAAGAAAATTTCCATTTCTGAATAGAGCCCTCAGTGTAAAAACATGTTAGTGACTGGGAATATTTCTTTAAAGCAAAGGTCCTTCAGTAGCCCCAGCAGATACCAGGCTTTCTCGAAGTTTTTCAAATAAACATTCACCACCTAATCTCCTATAATATTATAATATCTATATATAAACCTTTGGCTAAAGTTCTGCCCTATTGAGTTATTGAGATTCTTAAGAGCTCATTTTATTTATTCAAGGGGGTTGAATGCCTACTAAGTGCTGAAGGAAGCCAGTGCTATCATTTGAGGAATGCTCGTGGGCTGCCTTCTTTTTCAAGTTAGATGAAGTCAGCAGCCTTCTTTTGTGTGAGCACAACAAATTTATTCATAATTGTTTTGCGTTTGTAATAGTTTAGATTCCTCAGTCTTTATTTAGAGACTTCTTTTTCCAAGGCAAATTTCTTGGGATTGATTAAAGAAAAAAACAAAAAACTCTGGCTTTTATTTCAAAAGCAATGTCACACATATTTATACCAATTATGTAGAAAACGGCACAGAGATAGTATATCGAAGATTTTATATCTGAGTGCCTAAAAATGCAAGACAATGTGGTTAAAAAAGAATTCAAGCAACTAATGCCAAGAGGCAGCCGCTTTTTTACTTTCATAACCATGTTCCTTTTTAACTAACTGAACATTATAAAAAATATATCTGTGCAAAAGAAAAAAAAAAGGAGAGAAAGATGCAGAACCTCCCACTTTGACTTTTATAATCTCTTTCAAGGGAATACTGAGCCAATTACAAATGCTCGTTTTTCATGATTGGACATTTTTGTCTGGGTGCAGCACAAAAGGCATGTCATTTGGGGTCAAACATTAGCATGAAAATAAGATTAAAATATTTCTTGTTAGTGATCACTGTGATTTGTGAATGGCCATTAAAATGTATCCCCGGTCCCACTTTCCACTCAGTACCAGACTTTATCCATTTTTTTCTAGCATCACATAACTAAGCATATACTTTGAAGTTAAGCTGTACATGAGCTTATACTAATATTTAGAGAACTTCACGTCACCCAGGAACACTGGAAAAAATTACTGGGGACTTAGCCCATCTTCTGCTTTTAATTTGGTGTTCAACTTTTATTGACTCCATTTCACAACTAAGATTTATTAAGCATATACCATTTGTCAGCTATTGAACATATGCATATACTTGGTCTCAATCAATGTATTGAATTTAAGGAAAACCATTAAGTCAAAATTAATAGCTGTGGTACTTGGTAGCAATTAGAAGGTTAAGATGTAGATATACTTTGGGGGGAACATTTTGATTATACTTACTTTCAAGGTTATCAATCAAATAATGGTGAGTCTTTAAACTTGTCAGTGAACAGTCAGGGCATATGGTGACTGGAATATGCCAGACTCTCTCCTCTGCCTTAAGTTCTGTCATAATCTGTCTGATCCAGTGGAAGAGAGCTTAGAATGGAAGGCAGGTAACCTTATACAATACAAGTCAGATGGGTCTCATCTTCCTTTCCTTACTTTTGGAAAGGGGATCACTCCTCAAATTCTTCAAGTTTCAGATTCTGTATCTATAAAGTGGGGCTTATATAAGTATCTCTTCCCAGGACTATTGGAAGATTAAATGAGATCATCACAGAAGATCAAATGAGATAATCAGAAAAAAGTACACACTGCCTAGTCCATACATCGTAGGCACATAATAAATATTAGCTACTGTTATCATTTTAAGGATTAAAAGACATAATTCTTGCAAAAACACAATCATTTTCTTGTAATTTAAAAATATGTGTTTCTATAGGATCATTGACTAGTCTACTGTTGATTCTGACATAAAAAAGCTTGAAATCAGTAAATAAATTTATTTAAAAATTGCATAACATAATTGGTAGTTGTCTTTATTTAAATAGCAGAGAGCTAAACAAATGTCAATTGGATAATTATGTGTTAGATTTAAGAAAGACACTAAGAAACATGATTCTAGGCCAGAATCTCAAAATTTTTCTAGAACCGTCTCTGACTGGCAGCATTATAATTTTATTAGGTATCAGAAAAGATAGGAAGCACTTCTTAGGAGAAAGAACATGAGAAAGGAGAAGCACAGTTGTTAAGTTTCTTTCCGCATGTATTGGATGGCTAAATTAAGCCTGCTTATTAGATTAGTTCCACTAGGGACTTTTGCTGCCTATAAAATCTTGCATTGCTGAAGACAAGTTGTTTTTATTATGAATGTCAGTGATTTAAATATAGTAGTTAACTGTATCCCTCAATCCATTAACCTCTTCTCCACTCAACTTTGGTTTGAAAAGAATACAGGGGGTGCCAAAAAAATGTACACACATTTTAAGAAAGGAAAAAAACAATTAAAATTGTAATAATATATACCGATAACAAAAGATGAATATAAGTCATGTTTGACTTCTGCAATTACAAGAGGTGCTCAAAGTGGTTACCATCAAAGTCCAGACATTTCTGATTATGGCGAACTACTGCTTGAGCAACGTTGACCATCTCTTAAAATGTGTGTACATATTTTTGGCACCCCCAGTATGTTTTGTTTGAAAACTAAATATTTAGGGTTTTTCCATCATCTGGCAGTTTTTGAAACATTGCTGAATTTGCTAGGGAATGCTGACCTGTAAACTACTAATCTCTTATAGGATAATTACTCCCCCTAGAATAATCCAAAACTTGCACATTACACATTCCCTTTTGCTAGGCATTGAAATACAGATGTATATCAAGATTATGTTAGCAATCTGTGATTTCTAAATTGAAAACTGAAGACTAAAGCTTCTTCCTTGCCCTGCACTGAAACAATCAAGTAATAACCCCCAAAGCAAGTGAGTTTCTAATCACATTCTCAAGTTCTAATCTAATATCATCCATTTCAACATAATCAAATTTTTCAATAAGTGGGCAGACTGAAAATCTATTTAGTAATCCTTTGTAGACTTCTAGATTCTAACAAAAGCCACAACTTTTTTCCTACTAGCCTTACAAAGAACTCTTTAATTATTGACTTCTATCAATTCCCCCATTGTCTCCTATTGGTTAGAAGTTACCACAGAGGGTGCTCTGTTTAATTGCTTTTCTTTCATGGACAAAAGTACAGATTTATTGCCGGTAGGCCTGAAACCTACAGGCACTTTTCCTTTCAGAAATAAATTCTTTGACATTTTATTGGCTATATATTTGGAGTACAATTATTACATAGAGTGTAATTTG